CCAAGCCATGAGCCGCCAGCTTCTCCGGGGGAGTGCTGTGGGAAACGGTGTCAAAGGCTTTACTAAAGTCCAGGCAGACAACATCCACAGCCTTCCCCTCATCCACTAAGCAGGTCACCTTGTCACAGAAGGAGATCAGGTTAGTGAAGCAGGACCTGCCTTTCATAAACCCATGCTGGCTGGGCCTGATCGCCTGGTTGTCCCATACATGCCACGTAATGGCACTCAGGATGATCTGCTCCGTAACCTTCCCAGGCACCAAGATCAGACTGACAGGCCTGTAGTTCCCCGGATCCTCCTTCTGGCCCTTCTTGTAGATGGGTGTCACGTTTGCTAACCTCCAGTCAACTGGGACCTCCCTGGTGAGCCAGGACTGTTGACAGATGATGGGAAGTGGCTTGGTGAGCACTTCCACCAGCTCCCTCAGTACCCTTGGGTGGATCCCATGCGGCCCCATAGACTTGTGTGTGTCTAAGTGGTGTAGCAGGTTGCTAACCATTTCCCGTTGGATTATGGGGGCTTCATTCTGCTCCCCGTCCCCGTTTTCCAGCTCAGGGGGCTGGGTACCCTGAGAGCAACTGGTCTGACTACTAAAGACTGAGGCAAAGAAGGTATTAAGTACCTCAGGCTTTTCCTCGTCCACTATCACTGTGTTTCCTCCTGCAACCAATAAAGGATGGAGATACAAAGCTATCCCGAAAGGCAAGCAGAAGCTTATCTTTTTCTTTCTACACTTCCCCTACCCCCCACCCCACCCCATTCCCTTCACGCACTTTTATTGTTTAGTGGAATACTATACTAATTATACTTGGAAAATTAAGTTACAGGAAACTAAGTTGCATTAACAATGGTCATCAGATTTGTAAAATGTGACAAAAGGATTTCCCCATCTACAGTTGAAGGGTTCATTTCCTTTATGTTGAGGAAGGAGGACAGAAGAGTGACTGAAATGTTTGAATAGGAATGTTTGGAGGAAAAGCATGGAAAGTGACCTAGAGGACAATTACTTTTCAAGTCTGGAGATTAGGACAACGGCATAATACTCTTCCCTACAAAGGAAAATGGTTTCTTCACTCTCTACCAAGAGCTGTAGAGAATGAGTCTACAATACTACCTGTAGTATGTTATGAACTCAAACACCCAAAGACAAGTGTTTCCACTCTGTGGTTCTCACTGCCACTGTAAGTAGTTCATTATTGATCCATTTCTCATTTCTCAGACCTCACGCACAGCCTTCCTTGTAAGCATAGCTTTGATCATTAGCAGTGCTCCGCCTGTCAAAAAATATTAAGAATCCTTGTGCTTCAAAAGGCTCATAAGATTTAGAAGCCTACGTTATTTACAACCAAGAACACTGCTGAAAAAGTTTTCTCTATACCCACCTCTAAAAAATCTAATTTAAAAAAAAAAAAAATCAAAGCTAAGATAATAGGGCTGGATAACTCACTTTTAATATCCTATCACTACAATGTCAGCTATTCCAGCTCTGAAAGATGACAAGCAGAAGGTGGAATAATTAATTTCTTATTTCTAAAAACTGACTTAACATCCACACACATGGAAAGAAGACTCCTGTTCAATATCTTCAGTTTGTAAATTAGCAAGCTAAGAGAATGATAAAAAAATCACCGTATTGTTCTATTTCAAATATACACAAAGACATGTAGCTTTAAAATGTTTTTTCTAAAAGAAGTTTAAAGTAGATCTTACCTCAACAGAGCATCGTGGAGTCACAAAGAACTGATTAAATTCATCAGGGCTGAACTCCCCAAAAATATACTAAAAATAAAAGAGAAGGTTCTTTGTTAAAGAAGGATTTATATTCAATACAATTGATAAATTCATGGTAAAATTTATTAAGATTCTAGCATTCAAAAAGACGTGTGTGTTGGGAGCCAGAAACTCACCTGTTTGCATCCCAACTCTCATCTTAATTCCTTCCCAAGTCTTTAGCAAAGTACTTTAGGCTCTAAAACTGTATACAATGCATTTTCCTTCAAATTCCCACTAGAGGCAATCACAGCACAAACTGCAGCTCATCCCCTGACCAGTTTTAAACCAACATGTAGGGTAAGAAATTGCATCAGTTCATATAAGCCCTAGACACAAGCTGGCTTACCTTCTAAAACAACACAGACACCTACCCTTTACAACAGAAAAAAAACCAACCTACTTTTCCAGAGTTGTGCTAAACTAATGAGTTATGCAAAACTAATGGTACCACTACCTGAGTGTACAAGCACAGAACTGAAACTGTCTAGGTGTAGAAAAATAGAGAAGATCTAAATATCAACAGTTTTAGTACAAATTTTGTTACCCCTGTGCCTGAAACTTTGCATAACAAATGTCTTTTCCCAACGTTATCTTCCTGAACCCTTTTAGATATTTTGCATCTAGATTTCTATGGAAAAAAAGTAAGTACCTACCAAGACCCCAAAAAACCCACACTAAAATGAGAGCTTATATTTAGTTTACAGAAAATGAAATATTCCCAATAAAAAGGCCTGACATGTTGGCATTTCATAGCACCTGGAAGTTTATAGGAACTTCCACCACCAGTTGTAATTAGCTGTCGTGGTTTAACCCCAGCCAGCAACTATGAACCACACAGCCGCTCACTCACTCCCCCCCAGTGGGGTGGGGGAGAGAATTGGAAGGGTGAAAGTCAGACAACTCCTGGGTTGAGATAAGAACAGTTTAATAATTGAAGTAAAATGAAATAGAATGATAGTAGTAGTAGTAATAATAATAATAATATAATACAATAATAATGTACCAAGCAAGTGATATACGACACAATTGCTCACCACCCCCTGACTGATGCCCAGCCTGTTCCCGAGCAGCAATCCCTTCCCCCCCGGCCAACTCGCCCCAGTTATATACTGAGCATGACGTCATATGGTGTGGAATAGCCCTGTGGCCAATGTGGGTCAGGCCCCCTGGCTGTGCCCCCTCCCAGCTTCTTGTACGCCATGCAGAGCATGGGAAGCTGAAAAGTCCTTGACTGGTGTAAGCACTACTTAGCAACAACTAAAACATGAGTGTGTTATCAACATTATTCTCATACTAAATCCAAAACACAGCACTATACCAGCTACTAAGAAGAAAATTAACTCTATCCCAGCTGAAACCAGGACATTAGCTAAATAGCATCTGAACATTCAGGACAGCAGAGAGATACTGGGACAGAAAGAAGCTGAACAAGGAGTCGAATAAGCAGACAAAATAGACAAGAGGACTGGAAAATACCACTAACGACACATTCTTGGCATGCAGCAGGATATTCACACTTACAGTCACCAGTCACAAATTTTATGGCTGTGGATAAAAGCAGGTCAGTTTGGCTCAGTACCTTACAGCTCACCACTCTCATTCACCTTCAGTGTACTCTGATGGTCACTTAAGACAATTCTTTGCTATCCTCCACCCTTCCATCAGAAAACCGGGGCAGACACCAGCTGTTTCATCAGTGTCAACACTTGCTCATGGTAAATCCTTAGCTCGGTTGTATCAAGATACAGCTAACTAAATTGGGAGTTGAGCCACAGGAAAAAGTTCTCAAAATTTGAAAAATCATCTCTAGTGAAGTGAAGGCTGTTGCCACGAACTGTAGATACAGTAATTCAATCACAGTATTTTTTTTTAGACTTTATGTGGTTTATTCCAATAAAATTCACGTACTCGCTGTCTGCATGACTCACAGCCATCTACATTCATAAATTTCAAAGCTTAAGTTTAAGCTAAATTCCACAGCAATTACAAAACGTAGTTTATTCTTACACAGAAAGTGATTTATGCATATATCACTTATGTATGGAAAGAGTTTAACCATTTTAAAGCCCTTCAGTGTTTTTAAACAAATATTAATATAACCTGGTTTAGTCACACACAATTCTAACAGTCAAAACAAACTGGAACATGTGCGATACAAACATCTGAAACAGTGAAACAGTTAATGCTTTGAATAACCTTCACATAACCAACTGCTACCTACCAACTGAGATGGTACAACACCTAAACAGAACAGGATCCCTAAATTGTACTTGAGTGAATGGCTTCACAGTTCTTGGCACAGGACTTAACCTTGGCTTATGCTCTCAATATAACCATGTAATTTTTTATTCAGTAACATACCAGCTAGAATTTATCATATTCCAAAAACATGCCTACAAAAACCACTTGCTGAATCATAACTGAATTATGTTTTTAGGAGGTATTTTTGATGCAGTCATGCAACAAGACAAAACAATAATCTCAACTATAGACTATTAAAAGTTAATATAAATCCAACCCTAATTCCTCCATATAATAATACAGTCTTTTCATTTACCAACGTTTTTAACTGAGGTATCACAGGCCTGGTACTTCTTTCTGAGCAAAAGAAAGTGCTGCTTTTTAATTAGGGAACACAAGACAAAAGTTAAGCAAAGTGATCATTAATACTATCTTAATGAAACTATTTTATTATATAATGATGCATTCACATTGAGAAATGTTGTGCCTATGCAACTGTGTCTTCGTCATTTAAAACAGGACGTTAAAAATTTACCAACATCTAACCCAAAAACTAATCCTAGTCAGACTATAGCGCAAAAAATCCCATCCCATTTGGGCCTGAAGAAACCAGAATTTTATTTGATTTTATGAGGCTTTATTTAACAATGCTTTATACCTGCAAACATAAAGTAGACGAGTTAAAAGGTCCCTGCATAATAAACTAAGAAAAATACTGTTTTAAAATAAACTTGTTAGTCCATATGACTGATGACATTAAACCTACCCAACTTAACCGGCCTTCCTGTCCTCAGCCTCTCAAGTCAGCCTCATCTCTCAAGAAATGGATTTCTGCAAGCTGTACACACAGCACCCTCTGCTAGCACGACAGGATTTTCTACCCTTTTTAAGGCAACAGTACGTGCTGACGTGAAAAAGAATCAAGATATCGCATCGCTTGGCAAGTATCATAATCTCTACAAAAAAGGATGCAAAGGGGGGGAAAGCCATTGCATTTTAAGCAACTTGAAATACAGTGCGAGCTCCCTGCCTGCTGTCCGTCCATCCTACGTACCAATGAATCAGTGTGCCTGGCGCTGTACAAATGATCTCTGTGTAAGAACATACTTGTTTTGGCTGTGTAACAGCTTCAGAAAGACATCACTTTAGTACTTATTCTGACACATTAACTCAAATTTAAAAGGTTTTTCTGCAACGCCTAAGTAGTAAGCGTTTTTAGGCAAGAGAGCACTAGGATTTTATAAAAGCAATACACCCTTGCAAGAAATAATCTTACAGGCAGTATGAGCTTTTGGGGGACCTAGCTTGTACACTCTAAATTATTCCACATAATTTCAAAAGCCTCAGTTAACTTTTTTCCAAACTGACAAATGAAATCAAATACTTGGAACAGTCAAACAGAAGGTTAATTATATTATTTACACAACTCCTACACTAACTAGTCACAATCAGCACTAGCTTACCTCACACTCTGCAAACAACATTTAAAACACACAGCAGAAATACACTAGCATGTGTTAAAACTTTGCCAAAGACTGTTTCAGTTCCAATTTTAAAATTTTCAGGTGTGCATTTGTGTAAGAAACACATACCCATTACGACTACATCAAATCGATTCCTTTAAATGCCGAACTCGAATCTGCCCTACACGGGATCAATCCCTACACTCGTGTGTACTTCACACGCCTCCAAGTCCCAGTCACAGGTACCAGACTGGGACGTCACCACACACGCTCCCAGGAAAAAGTGGGTTTCAGATACAGACTGCTTACAGCCAGCCCTAACGCAGGCAAGCGCTGGTGATCTGCTCGGAGGTAAGCTGCTTGTCGCGCCGACCGGTACTGACGTGTCAGCGCATCAAGAGCCTTTTACTTTACAGTAACTACAACTGTATGGTTACCTGAGCAAAGGACGAGCGCAATTGCCGTGACAATGTGCGTGAACAGACAGCTGAATTGGGCCAGTTCGCAAAAATCCATCCCTATTACCATCGATAATACATAAACTAAAGTACGTATGGTAACATACAAACCCAAAATACTAAAAAATACGACCAGTGAAAAGTTGAAGCTTAACTACTCAGAGCTCTATACAAATTTCATTTTAAGGCAAAAAAATCAAGCTTTCTCCAAGAAAAAATATTGTTTAGCCTTCAATTACATATTTCAAAAAATAATTTTTATTTATATCCTCAGACAAAAAAGCACCTGCTTGAAAAGCATGCTAAATAGTAGTCAATGGCCTAAGGGGTAGCTCACAAGGTAGAGCAGGAACGATGCTTAGAAAAGAGAGTCCGGTCTTACACCAACACTGGATTTGGAATAAAAACTCTAAGAGAACATTGGGGGGAAGTTTTGAAAATTTTCAATCGTAACATTACCCCTCGACTTACTTTTAAAAATACGTAATCCCCAACAGGCTTAATTCAGAGTCAAATCTGATCTCCCTCTCCTTCTCAAACCATCTCTGCAACCTACACAGCAGCTTTCTGTCCTGGCTCCTGGGAAGGAATCCTCTCTCGCTTTTGTCAGGAGCACGTATTTCACACTGCATTTCTCCCGCTACTCCCCAGATTATTTAACTCTGCAGAGCAATCATTAACCTTGCATTAAGCGTATTCAAGGATCCCTTAAGATACCTCAGTCTGGTGAGCTTGATTTCTGCCATAGATTAAGAGCAATGTCAACACCTATCATATAAATTTCAATTATCTGCCATTTGCAGCTGTGTAAGAAAAACAGATGGAAAATAATAGTCTCCTCTGG